CCTGAAAAGCATTGAAAAAGGCTCATTTTCGCCATTTTTAAGCGGAAAAAAGCCCAGACATGGGTTCCTCATGGCGAGGTCCCGAAAAGGTGAAAAACTGGAATACGAAATTTTGCCGAGCCACTGCCTTTGAAGTCACATAAAAACTGCTTCACAATGCAAACTTCCTGCTAAGAAAAATTGTTCTGGCCTTGCTCAGGGTCCAAGCTAATCAATTAAGATTTCAAGGGTACTTGCGTTCAAAGTTTTGAAACAGGGGCAAATCAATGCAAGGAGCGTTTTTCAAAAAGAAGGTGACAACCGAACTCTCCAGTTTTTTTTTTTTGAAACGCTGGCTTTGCCGGCTGCTTGAAAGCATAGAGCATACTAAAACATTGCCAAAAATCTGAGAAACTGAAGCATAGATAGTAAGAAGAACTTCAGGGAACACTGAATCTATGAAATCGGTGAAAAGTAAGTTCACAGGTGGATTACGAGAACTAACAAAAAATAAGACGCCTCAAGTCGATGAAAGATAAATCATAACATTACTAATTGAAAAACAGGGAGAATCTACCACTTGAAGTAACTCACGCTCAGTTGCCCATGAGAAATTTCCTGCATCTAAGCGGAGTGCACGCATTTTCTTATTTCCGCCTCGCACACGAATGATATGAACCCTCTTTGGACCGATCTAAAAAATGAAATAATCAGAGAAATGCATAATATTAACTCTATAACAAACCTTAGTGTTGGCAGGTTGACGACCGAGCTCATACTTTCTCTTCTTGTGTGGAATTGGGCGAGTAGCACCAGTCTTGTAGCGCTTATGATATGAATCGCGCGATATACCCATTCTGCAAATGGTCAAAATTTAGAGATTTACAACAAATTTAGTATGGAAATGAGAACATGCAATTGTGAGCGGCAAAACTGAAATGGCACAAAAATTTTAGGCTGAGAGCAGCATCGAGTACTGTAGGATACGCAGCACTGCTGCGTCCCCACACCCTAAAATACGCAAAAATCTGCAACTTTTTTCGAAGCAAAATGTTGTGAAAGTTTTCTTTTTCGGTTTTGCAATCTGGCAACGAACATAATCTTCATTTTACTGCCATTCATATTGCATGTAGAATACAGTTGTTGAGTAAGAGTCGCACTGATCAACGTCTGGGTCCACTTCTACGCTGCCTCATGTGATTTCGAAATTTCAAAACGCATCGGTTTATCTTCCACTTCGCCTTCTGAGAAAACATAGTTTGTCTATTTTGTCTGGTTTCTAGCATTATCAAGTGTTTAGTAAGCAGTTGTCAAAACGTCCTGGGCTCTTCTTTCTTCAAAGTAATATTGCCTAACTTTGAAGACACAGATCCCTAGCATCAGATTTTTTACGTCGGTATATTTCACAATCATCTGATTTATCTAGAGTGAGTGGGATAGACATATCATTCGTTTATAGTGCAAATCAGATGCGGCTCTATGCCTTATGAGTCGCTGCAATCAGCTGCTGACAAGGGAATGGTCAAAACTTGGCCTATCAATCTAAATAGCTAAGCATCGTCTAACTCGCCTTGAATCGCAGTTCTCAATTGATCTTCTGAGCGGCTATTTGGAATGAGTTATGAGCGTTTG